GGGATTTGTTAATAATATCATCCCTGGCCTGATTTATGGAACATTTTAATAAAAACAAATATGGCGCAAATCGATTTTTTAAGGGTATGGACAGTATATTTTGATAGATAATGAAAGCATCCTGAAATCCCTCTGAATTTTTTTTTCATCCTGTGTATACACAAAATGAAGAAATAATTCACCTGGCTTCAGATCCTTCTACCGAAAATATTTGCAAAATTGCACATATTTAATGAGATATTGCCTAATTTGCATAAACATAGACATTTCAAAAACATCTTTATATACTTGTGTAAATAATCAACTGAGGAAGTTTCATGGTGATATCTATTATTTAAAATTTTTACCCTATTCACCTGTAGTGTCTCGCCTTAAGGCTCCAAAGAAACATATGGAGAGAACAATATGGCACATGTCATGCAAAATCCACTTTTTTTAGCCCTTAAATGCATTTTGTTGTATATTTGGAGTGTTTATAAGTACAGAAAAGATGAATTTATTCTCTTCAGGTGCTTTGTTTATATCTTTATATTCTGTTTTGGTCATATTTTTCAACCTGTTCAGATTTTTCTGTTCTCTATTACGTTTTTTTGAACAATTACGTCACAGTATTTGCAGCGGAACTGACAAATAAGGACATTGACTTCGGTCCAACACTTCGAGCAATCCGCCATTATTATTTCTCGCTCTGATTTTGCAGTCCAAGCTCAATGATGCAGAAGTTACGAGAGGGCTAGTCAAAATGTTGGGTTGTTGGATGTAGTGACCTGAAGCACTTCAAGGATCCTAATTTCAACAACCTCCGCCAGTATACAGAAGGGTTTGCCGATCGACTTCGTCTGAATGAGGGGTAAATTCCTTCTAGTTTTAGCTGCTGTGTTTTCTGACGCTTTCTAAACGTAAGTTATCATACAGTATTATTATCAATGCAGATTTTTAGTGGTAAGATCAGACCGCCGTCATTTATCTTGTCAGTGTGCTTGTTTTAACAAGAGAAATTGTCGACTTTCAATAACAACACAACATAGTTAACTTACATACCACTGCATCCATATGAAGACGTTGTTCTGCAGGTTCGTCGTCGTCTTTTTCAACTCGCTTGCTCTGGCTCGAATATGTAAGGCTTGATGGACAAGTCTTCCGTTGTTGACATTTAGTTAACGTGTGAATAAAAATGTTCTTTGAAGCTATAGTAATCGTATATCTCTCATCAAACTACAATAATGGCCGAACGCGAGGAGTTGAACCGACCGTAAACTCAGCGACCTGGAAAGCGGGCGGGGAAAGACGCAACTCGGAGGGGCCGCTTCGAAACGACTTGCTCACAGAAGCACATCAGAAAAGGGGTAGAAAAGGAGCTTGTGGAGCTATAATAATGAGGAATTCAGACGCAAGCATTGCAGTTATGCTTTATATAGATCACAAATGTATGATTTATAAGTAAAAATGAAAATGAAAATGAAATGAAAAATTTAAAAGCATGATATGTACCCTTTAAGCACTATGTACTCAAGGTGTATGCATTTTAAAAAAACCTGATAGCCCGTTCCCCTCCGCTAGGCTGTGTAAATAAAGTTGCTTGAGTGGAGAGCACGAAGTGTTCAACATTCACATTTAATTTTTGTGCATCATCCCAAATTTTCAGTGTGAAAAAGCTACAAAACAACATAGAAAACAGTGCATTGGGACACAAAAAGAATACACACCAACACTGTAATTGAAATGACATGCTTTACTTGATCTAGTACAATCACTGGAGAACATGTCATTGTAAACCATTAGAACAACTACATCTGAAAGAACAAACTTAACACTAGAAGTGCCAGAATTCCAAAACTACTAGAACGGCCACAAACGGTCATTTTGACCGTTAGATTCAAAACAGTGTTGATGAATAATTTTCGTTATTTTTGTCAACCACATTTTTTCAAAGACGAAAACGAGACGACAACTAAATAAAAACTAGGTTTGAATGACAAAAACTATGACGAAAATGTTAGATCTGATTTAGATTTGCGACGCGGTCAAGGCTATAATAATAGGGCTCGCAGAACTAGTGAACAGCCCAGCACAAACAGCGCAGGACAGGGCAGAACATCTGGATCCGCCGTGTCTGATGATAGCAGCCGTCTCTTTTTCCTTGATGTGGACTCTGACTCTGAATCACTCTCTGATGAGGAGGAAATGTTAACTTGCACCCAGGAAACGTCGCTGTCACTTTCCACCTCCGATTGTTCCCCTGCATCCGAATTATAGATAACTGTAGTCCGGTTTTATTTGCTTATTTCTGATCAACAACTAATGTAGAAATTATTATATAGCAAACACCGCTACAGAGGTGACCGGACGGACCATTCTGTTGACAGTTGAGAGAGAAGATCAACCGCGGGATATTTAACAAAAAAATACCGCAAAATTCAGTGCGGTCAATATGGCCGTCTATGGCCGAAATAGGTAAATATGTTCATTTTTTTTTGTTTTGCCTTACGTTTACGTAACTTAATTTATATGAAAAGCATTTTAAATGAAAATACAGACAATTTTAGGAAAAGTCAGGTACCAGCAGGATTTTATTATTTTTTTCAACAAAGTTATTATAGATATAAAATTCAAAACGGTCAAAATGACCGCTGTGGCCGTTCTAGTGTTAAATAAATTAATAATCAACAAAGTAAACAAAGATAAACAATACATAATGCAATGTACTCTGAAATAGTTTTTTTTTTCTCAGAGAAAAAAAAATTGTGCGTATGCGTGTATAATTATTTTTAGATTTAGATGCCCACAGGCCGAGACTGCATGTAGTAACACAGCAGTTGTCTTAGGTTGTCTTATCAAAACATATCAGTGTTAATGTGTACACAATACATTGAAGTTAAGAAAAATAAAGTATCATACTCTACTCTTACATATTACCCATGTATAGAGACTGATTTACATTTACATGCTTGCCAGTATTCAGAAGAAACATTGACCATTCTATCACATTTGAGAGGGTGAGAATATAGTTCAAATAGAACTGGGAAAAGAAGTACATTACAGGGTCATGTTACTTAAGATGCACAAACTAGCAATTAACTAGTTACCTTCTTTTATTTGATTACTCTCATCTAATTATTTTGTAAACACACAGACTATACTATACAGTATATTACAATTAAAGTCTGCTTTATTATCTCAATAGAATCTAACCAGGCAAGCAAAATAACATCTTTCAAAGACATTAACTTTTAAACAGATTTCCTCTGACAGTATATCTGTGTCCTGTTCAGTAAGTCCTGATAGATCTTTGATCGTATAAACCGAGGAAAGGAGTCTTTCTCCATGAGGCTGTACACTTTAGCTTGGACTTCATTGAAACTGTTGGAAGTTGGCTCCAGAAGGCTCTGTTTGGTTTCCTCTCTGGTCCTGTGGTCTATGTTAACCTTCAGCGATATAAGAGTTAGAGAATATTAAATTTTGTACAAATACTCTTGATAACAGCATAGAATCAAACACACCATTTCCCAGCACAGCCAGAGTGGATAGACTGTAAATGTTATGGTCATCAAAGTTCACACACACCCAGCTAGGATTTTTTTGTTCTAAAAATGTTCTGAGAACATTACCATGCAGTGTTCTAATAATGTTTTCAGCGGGTAGTTTTCTTTTGGTTCCTAAAATGTTCTCTTAAAAGTTCTAATAACATTCTCTAAAAACATTCTAAATATGTTAAATGCTAACATTGTTAGAACATTATTTCCTGACGTTCTTATAACATTTTCAGCGGGTAGTTTTCTTTTTGTTCCCAGAATGTTCTCTTAAAAGTTCTAATAACATTGTCTAAAAACATTTTAAATATGTTTATTGCTAACATTGTTAGAACATTATTCCCTAATGTTTTTATAACATTTTCAGCGGGTAGTTTTTTTTTGGTTCCTAAAATGTTCTCTTAAAAGTTCTAATAACATTGTCTAAAAACATTTTAAATATGTTTATTGCTAACATTGTTAGAACATTACTCCCTAATGTTTTTATAACACTTTCAGCGGGTAGTTTTCTTTTTGTTCCCAGAATGTTCTCTTAAAAGTTCTAATAACATTCTCTAAAAACATTCTAAATATGTTAAATGCTAACATTGTTAGAAAATTATTCCCTGACGTTCTTATATCATTTTCAGCGGGTAGTTTTCTTTTTGTTCCCAGAATGTTCTCTTAAAAGATGGCATAACATTCGCTAAGAACACTCTGAAAATGTTTTGTGATGACCTTCTATAAAGGTTTAATCATAACATTTTTAAAACATTATCCCCTAACTTTCTTATAAAGTTTTTAGCGGAAGTTTATTTTTGTTCCCAAAATGTTCTCTTAAAACCCCTCAAAAATGATTAGCTATAACATTGTTAAAGCATAACATTTTATTAATCTCAAAACTAAAACATCAAAATCTAACAGGTTTAAATGGCATCCACATAAATTATTAGAAGTTCTGCGTACAGTAAATGCCCAACATTACATGAAGAACTCAGTAAAGTCACTCATGCGTCTTGACTGCGGTGTTTGCTCAGAGCACTCATCATCAGTCTTTGCTTGTTTTGGTTCTTGCAGAAAAATAATCCAGGAATCTGTATTAATAATAGTGTTCTACTATTCTCTCTTCTAGTTGTCCAGCTGCTCCCCCAGTTAGCATTGAGCTGTTTTCTGTGTGCACAGTAGAGTTTTTCCTCATAGCCTAAAAAAGAAGATCATGCAAAAGTGTAAACATAAAGAATACACATACATTAAGATCACAAGCAATATTGACATTGAAAACTTTCAAAATTAGCCAGCCTAATTAGCAGTCAGAAATTATGTAAAGACTAATTTATTGAAAGTATAAATATGATAAATTATGAGTATCTTTTTTGTTTCTGTAATTTAAAACATACTTAATCCATGTATCCAATATCTTAATACAATAAAGTTTTAAAAATGGATATTTTTCTTACACAAATGCTTCGCTTTAAAAGGGCTTTATAGAGTCCCCGCCAGAGTCATGTGGTGGATTACTTTTATCATGGATGGATGCGCCTTGATAGACGGCCATTCACTGCCATTCTAAAAGTCAGAAGAGTCAGGACATTTTTTTAAATATAACTCAGATAGTATTCATCTGAAAGAAGAATGTTATATAAACCTGAAGCCTTGAGAAACGCTCTTTCCAATTCATTAACGTTAACCTCTAACGTTATATGAATTACTGAATTATTATTAACTTTTACTTTCAAAAGACATTAAGATCACTTTTAAGTAAAAATACAGTATTCGTATGCATAGAACACATACCGGCATCTTGGCTACCTTGGTTGTAAATGGAGACTTTATTGTGTCATCGGTAAGTTAATCATCTTGAAACAGTCCGTTTGGAGTCTGCATTAAAACAAATCTAGCTGTTATTCAAAAGTAGCATACACTCAGATTTAATGCGACTGTCATACAATTCTAAGAAAGTAGAAAGTTAGGTCTAATACTGAAAGACATCAAGGATAAGAGAAAGCTATGTAAACTGAAAAAATACACACAAAAACTTACAGTTGTGAAAGAGTTCCGTTGACCAGGAGTTCTGTTGTTTTGGGCCAATGTGTCGCCAATTTAGACAACGGACATTCTGCGCCGATTTCTTCAACAGAAACGTTGCTTTATTTGCGCTGTTTGTCGAGTTCAAATGTTCTTACGTCATGGGAACATCGCGCTGTGATTGGTGGTTTTAAACGTCGATCTACAGCGACCTCCAATCAGCTTCTCATCTCTTGTAAACGCATTTGTCGCAACAGTTCATTTCAGAGTAGCCTAATATATCCTCAAAACACTTTACCGTATGCTGTTTTGACAATGTTCCTCTTTCATTATGGAAAATTATGCCATTATTCTATAGGTTAAAATAATTCTACAATCTGTTACCTAAACAGCTTCCTTAAAATATCCTTACAATTTTATGAGCTTTTGTTAACATATATTATGAGATTTTGTCATCTCAGGTAAATGTCCACAAAACATTTGATGAATGTTGCTTTGATAATGTTCCTCCTTTGTTATTGTGCCAATGATTTATAAAAGATAACAACATTTTGACAAAAAATCCTCAAAATGTATCATGCAAAATGTTTGTTAAAAAGTCAATTTAAAGGAATGTTTTATTAAAAACATTTTATCATCTCAGGACTAAATAATATCCTCAAAACATTTTGCGAACGTTAATTTGATTATGTTCTTCCTCTGTTATTATGGTAGGCCTACATTCAATATTTTATGAAAGATCATTCTATAAACTTTTACCTCATCAACATCCTCAAAATGTTACATTTAAAACATTCTAGTTTTGTTAACACGTCACATTACAAGAATGTTTTATAAAAACATTCCATCATCTCAGGCCTCAATGATATCCTCAAAACATTTTTCGAACGTTGATTTGATAATGTTCCTCCTCTGTTATTATGGAACATTGTTTCAGTGTTTTATTGAGAACGTTAAAATATCTGTTATCTCAACAACATTCCCAAAACATCCTTAACATGTTACAGTGTTAATGTTTAAACACGTCACATTACAAACATTTTATCAAAAAACATTCCATCATATCAGGCCTCAATGATATCCTCATAACATTTTGCGAACGTTGATTTGATAATGTTCCTCCTCCGTTTTTATGGGACATTGTACCAATGTTTTATTGAGAACATTGTAATGTCTGTCATCTCAACAACATTCCGAAAACATCCTCAACATGTTACAGTGAAAATGTTCTAGTTTTGTTAACACGTCACATTACAAGAACATTTTATAAAAACATTCCATCATCTCAGGACTAAATAATATCCTCAGAACATTTTACGAACGTTGATTTGATAATGTTATTCCTATGTTTTTATGGGACATTGTTTCAATGTTTTATAAAAGATCATTCTACAAACCTTTACCTCATCAACATCCTTAAAATGTTAAATTTAAAACGTTCTAGTTTTGTTAAACACGTCACATTACAAGAACATTTTATAAAAAAACATTCCATCAACTCAGGCCTCAATGATATCCTCATAACATTTTGCGAAAGTTGATTTGATAATGTTATTCCTATGTTTTTATGGGACATTGTACCAATGTTTTATTGAGAACATTGTAATGTCTGTTATCTCAACAACATTCCGAAAACATCCTCAACATGTTACAGTGAAAATGTTCTAGTTTTGTTAACAAGTCACATTACAAGAACATTTTATAAAAAACATTCCATCATCTCAGGACTAAATAATATCCTCAAAACATTTTGCGAACGTTAATTTGATTATGTTCCTCCTCTGTTATTATGGGACATTGTTTCAATGTTTTATAAAAGATCATTCTTCAAACCTTTACCTCATCAACATCCTCAAAATGTTAAATTTAAAATGTTCTAGTTTTGTTAAACACGTCACTTTACAAGAACGTTTTATAAAAAACATTCCATCATCTCAGGCCTCATCCTCATAACATTTGCGAACGTTGATTTGATAATGTTATTCCTATGTTTTTATGGGACATTGTACCAATGTTTTATTGAGAACATTGTAATATCTGTTATCTCAACAACATTCCGAAAACATCCTCAACATGTTACAGTAAAAATGTTCTAGTTTTGTTAACATGTCACATTACAAGAACATTTTATAAAAAACATTCCGTCATCTCAGGACTAAATAGTATCCTCAAAACATTTTGCGAACGTTAACCTGATAATGTTCCTCCTCTGTTATTATGGAACATTGTTTCAATGTTCTATAAGAGATCATTCTACAAACCTTTACCTCATTAACATCCTCAAAATGTTAAATTTAAAACGTTCTAGTTTTCTTAACATGTCGCATTACAAGAACATTTTATAAAAAACATTCAGTCATCTCAGGCCTCAATGATATCCTCATAACATTTTGCGAGCGTTGATTTGATAATGTTCCTCCTTTGTTTTTATGGGACATTGTACCAATGTTTTATTGATAACATTCTAATATCTGTTATCTCAACAACATTCCCAAAACATCCTCAACATGTTACAGTGACAATGTTCTAGTTTTGTTAACACGTCACATTACAAGAACATTTTATAAAAACATTCCATCATCTCAGGACTAAATAATATCCTCAAAACATTTTGCGAACGTTAATTTGATTATGTTCCTCCTCTGTTATTATGGGACATTGTTTCAATGTTTTATAAAAGATCATTCTTCAAACCTTTACCTCATCAACATCCTCAAAATGTTAAATTTAAAATGTTCTAGTTTTGTTAAACACGTCACATTACAAGAACGTTTTATAAAAAACATTCCATCATCTCAGGCCTCATCCTCATAACATTTGCGAACGTTGATTTGATAATGTTATTCCTATGTTTTTATGGGACATTGTACCAATGTTTTATTGAGAACATTGTAATATCTGTTATCTCAACAACATTCCGAAAACATCCTCAACATGTTACAGTAAAAATGTTCTAGTTTTGTTAACATGTCACATTACAAGAACATTTTATAAAAAACATTCCGTCATCTCAGGACTAAATAGTATCCTCAAAACATTTTGCGAACGTTAACCTGATAATGTTCCTCCTCTGTTATTATGGAACATTGTTTCAATGTTCTATAAGAGATCATTCTACAAACCTTTACCTCATTAACATCCTCAAAATGTTAAATTTAAAACGTTCTAGTTTTCTTAACATGTCGCATTACAAGAACATTTTATAAAAAACATTCAGTCATCTCAGGCCTCAATGATATCCTCATAACATTTTGCGAGCGTTGATTTGATAATGTTCCTCCTTTGTTTTTATGGGACATTGTACCAATGTTTTATTGATAACATTCTAATATCTGTTATCTCAACAACATTCCCAAAACATCCTCAACATGTTACAGTGACAATGTTCTAGTTTTGTTAACACGTCACATTACAAGAACATTTTATAAAAACATTCCATCATCTCAGGACTAAATAATATCCTCAAAACATTTTGCGAACGTTGATTTGATAATGTTCCTCCTCTGTTATTATGAGATATTGTGCTAATGTTTTATTGAGAACATTGTTTAATCTGTTATCTCAGCAACATTCCCAAAACATCCTCAAAATGTTACAGTGAAAATGTTATATCTTAGTTTACATTTAACCTTATAGGAACATTATTTGAAATGAGAAAACATCCTTAAAACATTCTTAAAACATTGCATTCAAATGTTTTATTTAAAACATTAACCAAACCTCTAGGGAATGTTAGCCAAAGTTCTAAGAACGTTCCCTGTTAGCTGGGCAAACATCTATAACTGTCTCTGATGTTCATGGTTCACGCTTCTCAACCATCAAAAATTTTATTCAGTTTGAGCATTTTCTGAGCCAATAGAGCAGGGTTATTACATTTGGAAGATACGTCTCGTCTTGAAGGAGCCAAACTGAAGCTATTTGTGTTCTCTGTGACCTGCACAATCATGACGCTTAAGGACAGTGCTGTGCTTCCCGAACAAGCAGTGATTCACAATGTAACTGAAGGTCATACTGAACAAGAAGATGATCTTTAGGTTTAAAGCCAGGGAATAACTAAAGTGAGCGTAGGTGGTGCTAAAGAACAAAATCAGAGGGAGAAAAAATCTTTACAGCACAGGTCTCAAACTTGGAAGTGTATTGTATAAGCAATTAAAAAGTGTTTTTTTTTAGCAGACATTGCAGCCTTCAATGTCACATGATGCTATTGAAATAATTGAATTTCTTATAAGTGTTGAAAACAAGTGTGTTTTTATATTGTGAATTCTTTGCTGAACAGAATCTTCAAAAGAATATATATATAACAAAATGTTATATAACATCAATTCTGCCTGCCAGGATAAGACACAAATGCCTGTTACTGACATGAAACGTGTTGATAAAAGCTCAAAAAGCCGTAGAAGAACAGGAAACTGGATCTTTAAGTCAGGAAAATCTCACAGAATATACACGTGTTACCATTGACAAAAACAGACAAACACAAAGGGAGAACTGAAGGCTTAAGTACACAGAGCAAATGAGATCATTAACAAAGTGATTGACCTGGCACAGGTGAATGGGATAACTAATTAAGCAGACTGAGGAAAAGGTCACAGGACAGAACCAAAAACACAATGAAAACAACAGAACAAGGTATATTCGGTACATCTGGGGCCTGTACCATGATGATCGTTAAACAAACTGTGGGTTAAAGGATTAATTTAGAGTTCACAAAACCAATCTAGGCTTTGTTGGTACTATGATGCCTACCCTATCTCACGACCAATTCGTACGAATTCGTACGAGTGATTCAAAAGTGGCTAATTCGTACTAATTCATACGACCTCACTCGTACAAATTTGTACGATTTGTCTAAACCCACGTGACGGTTATGTTTAGGGGCGGGGTCAGGGGTGGGTCATTTGTACAAATTCATACGAATTGGCTAATTCGTAAAATATGTACGATTTAGCTAAATCGTACTAATTCGTATGAGTGAGGTCGTACAAATTGTTACGAATTAGCCACCTCGTAAAATTCGTACGAATTCCCGTGAGATCGGGTTGATGATGCTGATCATCAACTTTTTCTGTCAACTCAGGCTTTGATCCTGAGTTTAGGAATTTAGGTGTGACATCAGTAGGTGTGACAGTGTGAGAAAAGCCAATCACATGCTGAGAAAGAGTGAAACTGTGATTCATTTCTCTCAAGAGAAGCAACATGATTCACTTCTCTCTTCTGTGTTTGGTCGCCTAGCATACGAATCCGTAGGGTGTCCCATTCTGCATTTGGATTCTTGAGCGCCGCCTTTTTGCCCTCGATGTGGACTTCAGTGAAGCCCACAAAAGTTTCGGTGGCATGAAGTCATCAAGCCTGTTCCAAAATACACTCTCGCATACCCTTGTGGACTCGAGCCCAGCGCCCCTTAGGTCTGCACTTCCTGACGTCACCAAGTGTGAACTGGAAGGAGGTCCACAAGGCCGAAGTGTGCATGCCATTTGAGTTTCAGCCTTACTATAGCGATGAATACTGCAAAAAGCCAAACCACTTTCATTGTGCCTAAAACCCAGGGTTATAGCGCAAACTAAATTGAAAAATACCTGGCTATCCACCTAAACCAGCTTC